AATGTGGTAGATTGTAGGAAACATAGAAGTAGATTATAGATAGAGGAAGGAGAAGAGGAAAAGGGAGGATCTCTCAGAAGAGGTGAGCGGAGTATCCCTGACAGGTTTGCCTACATATTTATACAACAGAAGTACACATACGTAAAAATGACTCACCAGAGACTCACGGGTTACATTCTGCAAATTCCTGCAAACTTGTAAATTTTACAATTGTTTAAGATCAATATGACTATTAAACTAACTATATTTTCATTCTTTGCTGTAGGTTTGTTTTATCTGTTTGGGTTGTTTCAATGTGATGCTGGGTGTCCGTGATTGCCTTTGCCCACCCAAGCCTGGAGATCTATGATTTTGGGGTACATTTTTTGGTAGGATTTCCGGTAAGTATCATGTACAGAAGAAAAACAGTTAAATGCGAGTGCAACACTATATATATTGATAATAAATAGACACAGTAATCCCCCCTGTAACCCCTGAACTAGCTCTTCTTTTAAATACTAGCTAATAATAATCCTCTCCTTTGATTATCTGAAGGCGGTACAGGTTACCACCTTAGTCACTTAATATTTTGAAACTTATTTTCTTGTGGCTAACCGCCCACTTACAGTACTTCAGTTGCTAATGCTCATACCACCTCATTCTTGGGCAGGTTTTGTTTGATTCTGTATTTAAATTAATAACTGAATGACCATCTAAGTCAAGCAAGAATGATCGCTTTCCTATTAAGCTGTGATCACATGGGTTGTTTGTTGTTAGCAATCTAACTTTTCTAGTTGAAGGCCGGGTTTTATTTTTTTAACTCATATGTCTTTCGGCCTTTGTATTGTGTCTACAGAAACTCAAACACTTTGAACAAGAAAACTAATAACCCTCCATGGAACCTGATACCAACACGCCGTGTAATATTACATAGTTACATAAATAGTCTGGCTGAAAAAAGACAAAAGTCCATCCAGTTCAACCATTAAAAAAAAAAAAAGTTATAATCCTATACACACAGTTGATTCAGAGGAAGGCAAAAAAACCAGCAAAGCATGATTTTTCCTGTAGGGGAAAAAATTCCTTCCTGATCCCCTGAGAGGCAATGGGATATTCCCTGGATCAACTTTACCTATAAATTTGTTAGTATCCAGTTATATTCTGTGTATCCAAGAAACAATCCAGGACTTTTTTAAAGCAATCCACTGAGCTGGCCAGAACAAATTCTTGAGGGAGTCTATTCCACATTTTCACAGCTCTTACTGGGAAGAAACCTTTCTGTTTTTGGAGATTAAATTTCTTTTCCTCCAGATGTAAAGAGTGTCCCCTTGTCCTCTGTGATGACCTCAGGGTGAATAACTCTACACCGAGTTCACTATATGAACCACTGATGTATTTATATATGGAGATCATATCCCCCTTATGTATTATACATGGTGATTATATCCCCCCTTATGTATTATACATGGTGACCATATCCCCTCCTTATGTATTATACATGGAGATCATATCCCCTCTTATGTATTATACATGGAGATCATATCCCCCTTATGTATTATACATGGAGATCATATCCACCCTTGTGTATTATACATGGAGATCATACCCCCCCTTATGTATTATACATGGAGATCATATCCCCCTTTATGTATTATACATGTTGATCATATCCCCCCTTAATCTCCTCTTCTCAAGAGAGAATACATTCAGTTCCTCTAATCTTTCCTCATAGCTGAGCTCCTCCATGCCTCTTATCAGTTTGGTTGTCCTTCTCTGTACTTTCTCCAGTTCCCCAATGTTCTTTTTATGAATTGGTGCCCAAAACTGAACTGCATATTCCAGATGAGGTGTTACTAATGATTTGTACCTCTCCTAATACAAGAGAGGATTTTGCTCACTTTAGAACCCACAGCTTGGCATTGCATGCCATTATTAAGCTTGTGATCTACCAGAACTCCCAGATCCTTCTCCACCATTGATTCCCCCAGTTGTACCCCCCCCCCCCCAGTATGTATGATGCATGCATATTCTTAGCCCCCAAGTGCAGAACCTTACATTTATCAACATTAAACCTCATTTGCCACATAGTTGCCCAATTAACCACTTCAAGTCCTGACACTTTCACCCCCTTCCTGTCCAGGCCAATTTTCAGTTTTCACACTTTGAATGACAATTGCGCGGTCATGCAACACTGTACCCATATGAATTTTTTTAGCATTTTCTGGAGACAAATAAAGCGTTATTTTGGTGGTATTTATTCACCACTGGGATTTTTATTTTTTTGCTATATAAATGAAAAAGTCCAAAAATTTTGAAAAAAAGTGTTTTTCTTATAAAATTTTGCAAATAAATAAGTTTCTTCAGAAATCTTGGCCAAATTGTATTCAGTTATATTTTTAGTAAAAAAAATAACCCATATTAGTTTATAACCAAAAAATTATAATTAAAAAATTTTTTTTTTACATTTTTATTTTATTTTTTTTATTATTATTTATGGGTTTTTTTACATACTGTCACCCTAGCAGTACAGTGTCACCATGGTGACTCTGTACTACTTGTGGGGGGGTTATGAAGATTTTTTTTTTTTTTTTACACTGATTGCTATTACACCCAGAAAGGCTGTAAAGGCAATCATTTCTCCTTCTCTCTGGCTGCATTCTTGCAGCCATTGAGAAATACTGTGTGAGCTGTGATTGGTCACAGCTTATCACATGGTACTAGGCTGTTGTGAATAGCCTTGTACCATGTGACCTCTGTGATCATTCACAGATTTCACACGTGTTAAGCAATGATGCCAGGAAGTGACATCTTGCTTACTACTCTTCATGTGATCACTGATTGGCCAATCAGTGATCACATGATTGGGACCTCGCACAGAGGTCCCGTACAACGATCGGTGTTCTGCCGTGTCCTCTGGACACAGCGGGCACCGGATCGCGGTGCTGTGCGCTCCCAGAGAGCATGCACAAGCATTGAGCGGGGAGGCCGTTTATAAACGGCCACCTGCCCCTGCACTGCCACCATCCGGCCGTTTATATACAACAGCCGGACGGGAGGTGGTTAAACAGTGCATTGAGGTCAGCTTGTAAGTTGGAGACATCCTGTAAGGACGTTATTCCACTGCACAGCTTGGTGTCATCTGCAAAGACTGAAATGGGATTTTTAATCTTAGACCCTATATCATTTATAAATATATTAAAAAGTAATTGTCCCAACACTGAACCTTGGGGTACACCACTGACACCCCTAGACCATGCAGAGTATGAATCATTAACCACTACTCTCTGAATACGATATTTTAGTCAGTTTTCTATCCATTCACATACAGATTTTTCCAAGCTTGTAGACTTTACCCTACACAATATATTAACTCTCTCAGTAACCCTCCCCATTACTCTCCATCTAGCCATCCTTGTAAATCTTATAATAGCCTTCTCTGTAACACAGACAATAACTCTGCTCATAACAATAATCCCCATAATAATTCCTCTATTATTTATCAAACTTCTCTTCCCTGTGCCCCATGGCCAACTTGCAGTCTCCATCTGCTTACAAGTACAAGTTAAATTCCAAAAATGTCGGCAACAGGTGAATACAAAAATCTTCTTTATTGCATAAAGAAGTAAAAAATATTCCATGGCAAACTAATTCTAACGCGTTTCAGTTGTATAAAAACAGACCTTATTCATAGCTGTGACTGAAGTGCGTTAGTGTTCGTTTGCCATGGAATATTTTTTACTTCTTTATGCAATAAAGAAGATTTTTGTATTCACCTGTTGACATTTTTGGAATTTAACATTATCCTTTCTTCTAACTCGAACACTAATCCCCCTAACACTGTCACAAATTCTCTCTGTAATGCCAACTCTTCCTGTGTCCATACATGACCATTCTCGATAAACAAAGCCTAATCTCTGCTGTATCCCCAATGTTAACCTTCCCTGTAACCCTCACACTTGTCTTTCCTATTACCTTAATACTAACCCCCCTTAAAACACAAGAATGCACACTAACTTTGCATGAAATATTTTCATTAACCATCTCTTTAACCGCTTCCGCACCGCCCTATAGCAGAAATACTGCTACAGGGCGGCACAGATGCTCAAAATCACGTATATGTAAGGGATTGTGCAGTTCCAGGTAGGGGGTGCACACTCCCTACCAGCGCCGCAATTTGCAGCCTCGGCTGTCAATGACTGGGTCCTGGCCGGTGATTTACCACCAGGCACCTGGTGATCTCCGAGGATTTCTGATGGGGGGGGGGACTTTTATGTAAACAATACAGATCTCTCCCCTGTCAGCTCCTGCACACTGCTTTGTATGGTTCTGCATAGCACAGCCATACAAAGCAGTGTGCTTACAGTGAAACACGCACACACAGTAAAAACGCACATAGTTAACCCTTTTGATCGCCCCACATGTTAACCCCTTCCTGCCCAGTGCCATTAGTACAGTCTCAGTGCTTTTTATTAGCACTGATCACTGTATTGTGCCACTAGGGATGTCAGTGACACTAAGTCAGTTCCCTTCAGTGTCAGAATGCCCTCCGCAATCGCGGTATATGTCGCTGATCGCCGCCATTACTAGTAAAAAACAAAAAAACACTGATCACTGTATTGGTGTCACTGGGGATGTCAGTGGCAGTTAGTCATATCCCCCCCCAGTGTGAGAATGCCCGCCACAGTCCTGCTATAAGTCGCTGATCGCCGCCATTACTAGTAAAAAAAAAAAACTTCCAGTATATACTGCCATTTGTAGAAGCTATAACTTTCATGTAAACCAATTAATTTACACGTCTTGGGATTTTTTTTTTCTAGCAAAGACATGGAGCAGAATACATTTTGTCTGAAATGTATGAGGAAATTAGTTTTTTTTTCAATTTTTTTTCTGAACATGTTTAATAGCAAACATTCCAAAACATTGTTATTTTGTTTTATTTTTTAAATAGTTGGCTTTTTTTTGTTTATAGCGCAAAAAATAAAAAACTGCAGAGGTGATCAAGTACCACCAAAAGAAAGCTCCATTTGTGAGAAAAAAAGGACGTAAATTTCATTTTGGTGCAGCGTTGCATGACTGCGCAATTGTCAGTTAAAATATTTCAGAACCGTATCGCAAAAAATGGCCTGGTCAGGAAGAGGGGTAAATCATCTGGAGGGCAAGTGGTTAACCCTAACACTAATCTTCAAATTCAACCCTAAACATTCACAAAAGCACTCCTTGTAATCCTCACATTAACCTTCCATTTAACCCAAACACTAATACTTCCTGTAACTGTGGGCACAATTCACTAAAGGTTATGGCATGCGTTATGCTGGTCACGTGGCCACATATTGCATGCGTTACTGAAAATGTCAATTCACGATTGCAGTGTGCTGTATTTACCAAAAATAACAAAAACATTTGGTAAATACTGCATGAAAAGACCTTAAGTCAATTCACAAAAGGAAATAATTAATTAAATGCATGCAGTAATTAAGTAGTCATCCAGGCATGGGGTATGTACTGGTATCTGTCAGTAACTGCCATGGGTTGTAAAGGATCGGGTAGCCGCCACGTTCTTAACAACCTATGAGTCATCAGCTGTCAGCGCTGAATTAAAAAATAAAAAAGAATTACCAGCAAATAAAAATTTTGCAAAAAAACAAAGTGGGGACCCCCCCATCCATGCCAAGCCCTTCGGGTCTAGTATGGATTTTGAGGGAAACTCCCATCCCAAAATTAAAAAACAAAATAGTGTGGGGACCCCATGCCTTTTTTTGCTAAATTTTTATTTGCCGGCAATTCATGTTTTTACATTCAGCTGTCAGGGGGAATCCCGCTGACAGAAGAAACAGAACATGTTTTCACATACTAACTCATGCTGTATTTTAGTTGCGTTTTTAGAAAATTGCCGACTTTTTTATAAAAAAATTACCTCAGGTGTGGTTGAGATAGTTACTGCTTAGTGTATGGTCCCCTCTATCCCTATGCTTACAATACCCTACCTTTTATAACCTAAC